CCCTCAGTAGAGTGCTGTGGCATCACAGCTCATAGCAACCTCCAGATCTTGGGCTTAGGCAATTCTCTTTTGCCTCAGCCTGCCGAGTAGCTGGGACTATAGACGCCTGCCACAATGCCAGGCTATTTTATGTTGCAGTTTGGCTGGGTCTGGGTTTGAACTCGCCACCCTCGGTATCCTGGGAAGGTGCCCTACTCACTGAGGCACAGACACTGCCCAGGAAAAATTTCTTATCAATTAAAATGTCCTCCCTACCTTCTCAAGAACACAAAAAAAGTAACTAGAAAAACATTCCCAATCTTGTCAAAGAAAAAAAATAACTACTAATTTCTAAAAATAAAGCAAAGAAGAAACGAATACACAAAAAACAGCTTTACCACACAGACAAAACATCAAACACCAAAACTACCAAAGTCTGGGTGGCACTGTGGCTCAAGGAGTAGGGCGTCAGCCCCATATGCCAGAGGTGGCAGGTTCAAACCTGGCCCTGGCCAAAAATTGCAGCAAAATAAATAAATAAATAAGTAAACAAAACTACCAAACTCTTCCAAATTTCAAATCTTTCAAAAATATTTACTTTAGGGTTCCATCTGTAGCTCAGTGGGTAGGGCGCTGGCCCCATATACCGGGGTGGCGGGTTCAAAGCTGGTCCTGGCCAAATGGCAACAAAAAAATAGCCAGGCGTTGTGGCAGGCACCTGTCCCAGCTATTCAGGAGGCAGAGGCAAGAGAATCGCCTAAACCCAGGAGTTAGAGGTTGCTATGATCTGTGTGATGGCACAGCACTCTACCGAGAGCAATAAAGTGAGGCTCTGTCTTTACAAAAAAAAAAAAAAAATTTTTACTTTAGTAACTGCTGTTTATACTTCCTTTTAACAATTCCACTTTCTTTTCAGTCAATTCCACTTCAACAGTCTTCAAAGAGTATAAGAAAACTTGTTTGAATTTAGGCAGGCCTCTGTCTCTTATCTGCAGGTCAGTATGCCCCAAAACATTCAAAGATGCTTCTTCGACAGCAGGAAAAAACACAACCATTGTGGACAGGTACAGGAACTTCTAAATGTAAGAGGCCACCTCTCCAATGTTAGATCGAAAACCCATGAACTATTACTATTACAACTTTGCTGGTGGTAAAATGATTTATCACCATTAAGTGAAACACTAAAAATCATACTACTGGGCTAGGCATGGTGGCTGACACCTATAATCCCAACACTTTGGAATGCCAAGGTAGGAAAATCACTTGAGGCCAGGAATTCAAGACCAGCCTCAGCAACACTACAACAAAAATTTTTAAACAGCCAAACATGGCACATACCTGTAGTCTTAGCTACCTGGGAGTCTGTTCAAGGCTCCAGTTAGTTATACCACTGTAAGTCACAGTATTCTTAAAAAAACCAAAAAAGATTATTTCAAAAAATAAGAGAAAATTTATTATTTCTTTAAGTCAATTTAAATTGACAACCCAATTCTGCCACCAGATTAACAAAAGAAAATCTCATAATTGATTCAAGAATGGCTTCTCTTCTAAATTAAAAAAAAAAAAAACTACTGGCCAGGCATGATGGCTCACGCCTGTTGTCCCAGCACCGTAGGAGACTGAGGCGGGTGGATCAATTGAGCTCCAGCACTTTGGGAGGCCAAGGTTGGTGGATCACCTGAGCTCACAAGTTTGAAACCAGCCTGAGCCAGAGTGAGAACTCATCTCTAAAAATAGCCGGGCATTAGGGCAGGTGCCTGTAGTCCCAACTACTTGGGAGGCTAAGGCAAGAGAATCGCTTGGACCTGAAACCAGCATAAGACCAGCACTAGCTGGAGTGAGCCGGAGTGAGCCAGAATGAAACCCATCTCTACCAAAAAAAAAAAAGCCTGCGTTGTGGCGGGTGCCTGTAATCTCGGCTATTTGAGAGGCAAAGGGAAAGAGAATAGCTAAAAAAAAGAAAGGAAAAAAAATTCAAACTAAGATGAGTGAAAGCCAGCTAAAACTGAAAGCAAAAAAAAATTTTTTTTGCAGTTTTTGGCTGGTGCCGGGTTTGAACCCACCACCTCCAACATATGGGGCTGGCACCCTACTCCGTAAGTCACAGGAGCGACCCTGAAAGCAAAATTTAAAAAAAAATTTTTTTTTAAAGAAGAAAAAGAAAAACTCTGGGTAGTATTTTGCTACTGTCAGACAGTGAGACTGTTTCTAAGAAAAGGTACAATGACAAATACAACACTCATTCTCATTTCTTTTTTTCTTTTTTTTTGAGATGGAGTCTCACTTGGTCACTCTTGATAGAGTGTCGTCGCGTCTTAGCTCACAGCAACCTCAATCTCTTGGGTTCAACTGATTCTCTTGCCTCAGCCTCCCATGTAGCTGGGATTATAGGCGCCTGCCACAATGACTGGCTATTTTTTTTAGAGATGGGGACTCACTCTGTCTCAGGCTGGTCTCAAACCTGTGAGCTCAGACAATCCACCTGCCTTGGTCTCTGGGATTATAGGCGTGAGCCACTGCACCCAGCATTTCATTTGAGTAGAGTACTGTGCCATCATAGCTCACAGCAACTTCCAACTCGTGGGCTCAAGTGAGTCTCCTGCCTCTGCCTCCCAAGTAGCTGGAACTATAGGCGCCTGCC